CCCGGTTTGTGTCTCCAACCGGGACTAAAGGTTAGACCCCTTTAGTCCCGGTTTGTGATACAAACCGGGACTATAGGTTGGCCCTTTAGTCCCAGTTTGTGTCACAAACCGGGACAAAAAGGGCTCGTGGGGCCCCGGCCTGACGCCAGCCTGCCACCACCTCTTTAGTCCCGGTTTGTGACACAAGCCGGGACTATAGGTCACAAATGAACCGGCACTAATGCATAGCCGTTCGAATCGGCACTAATGGTCACATTAGTGCCGGTTCATTTACAAACCGGGACTAAAGGGGTGAACATTAGGCCCTTTTTCTACTAGTGTCCTTTCCTTGTAAAACTTGAATGATGGGCACCTCATGCTTGGGGATTCCACTTGGGAGCGCAAGGTTGACTTGCTCAACATATATGGACCACCAGTTGCATTGGTCTTACATCACACTCCAATGATGAGTAAGAGACACGATTGTGCAGTCGGAGGGAATGGGCACATGGCTATTGTAGAGTATGCATGGTTGTCACAAGTTAGGATTCTCATTCCAGCATTCTTGGGTCTAGTTTTGTTTGGCTTGGACTTAGATGTAGTGGGTTCTTGGGCCACATCTTTACCTTTATCAACCTTAGAAGGAGCATTAAAGGGACAATGTTGTCAAGGCCGAGTGTGTGGCTTGCATTCAATTGTTCCATCAAATTCGTTTGCATCATCATTCAAGCTTACTACAAAAGAAAGAAAAGAACCTAGCAATCAATGTCACATCATGCATCATTCTTTTGAGCAATTGAAAAATAAAGAAAGAAAACCATTTATTTTTACCTCGCGGGCATTGCCTCACGCATGTCAGCCTCACTCCTTGTCACGTTTGAATCTGGCTCCTCGTCAGCCACCGTGGGTGATGGGGCGTCAGCATGGTTGTAGGATTTTGGGGAGTAGTCCTCGATGCCGCGGGACACCGATGAGGAGGTGTCGGTGCGACTACAATCTCCTTCTTCTTCATTGCGGCTGATATTTTGTCTGCTTCCTTGGCCGATGGCCAACAGTCCCATTTGTGGGTCGGCTGGGTGAAGGGGCCACCGAGTAGTGGCAGCGGAACGAGCGGCAACCACCGCCGGCAACTGAGAGCTCGAAATCCATCATATCCTTTCTGTCTGAGGGTTTTATCCTAAGTGGCCCAATTGACTACGTGTGTTTCTCTCAACTGGACACACTTTGTTTCTTCTTAATGGAATCCCGGAGATTAACCAAACATAAGGCGGCCTTTACCCGGGAGATTCCCTTTCCCCCTATCTTTCATATTTGTAGCCTATGTGCTTTAGTGTCCCATTTATCAAGAATGGTCATCAAAACTTCTTTATTTTCTATTGTCGATCACTTCCCTTGCCCAGTTCTGCAATATGCAGATGGGCTTTGATTATTTCTAGGACAAATTACTCAGTTATTCGTATTCTAAAATGTGTGCCTAAGAATTTCATCCCCACTAGGCTCTTCATCCATATCGCTAAGTCTATATTTGTCCCTACTAACGTTTCTTCGGGCAATATCAACTCTTTTACAACCATTCTAGGATGTCCCATCTCTTTCTTCCACATAACATACCTCAGCTTGCCTCTCTCGCTTACCAAGCTTCCACTGTCAGCATTAACTCCTCTCATTTGAAAAATAAAAAATAACTTTGGTGCTCCCTCCCCTCCCCTTTAGAGGTAGGTTAGTTTCTGGAGTGCTGACCCGCGTGATGATCTGTGGGAGGGTTGGCGAACTGGGTGACAACTCAACATTGCCATCGTTCTGGGAGTGCATTGGTGACCATGGACTGGGGATGTACTGGGCGGTCACTGAAAAGACTACCGTGATGGCATTCATACATGGTTCCATCTAAATAGCTGAAAATAAAAGAGCATGTAAATGAGATCGGAGGAAGTTTCTTATGTAGAAAATTGGACCAGGGTTCAAAGGTTCACTAGTAGCATCTCTCATGATAGCTGTGACACATAAATATAAGCATGTGTATGTGTGACGGTAAATCAAACATTCATGTAAATATCATCACAGGCTGAAATCATATTATATAGGCGATACATTGATAAATTCAAAAGACCAATCACCATTGTATCTAATGGTGTCCGGAATCCTTGTGAATTCACCTCAACAATCAAGATCATGAAACAGAGCATTCCATTGAGAATGAGTTCATACTCTTCACAGAATCACTTTCAGAGTCATGCAATCATTTTACCCTTACGAGTCAACCATTTCTAAGTTTTTTGTGTCTTAGTGTCAATGAAAATACTTCAGGAACAGGGACCTACCCCATGTAATGCACACCGCTCCCTCTATCAATGTTGATTTAATCTATACAAACCAATGACTTATTAATCAAAGATCAATATACATCTACAAATTATGGAATCAAACATCATGATATGGTCATAAAGTAATTATTCAGCACATAGCAATAAGATTCACCATGAGAATTACAAGTAATATAGATCACAATCATGTAGGCCAGTCCACGTAACCATTGCATTGAAGCATAGAGAGTAATGGCTATATAGCTATGGGTAGAAACATGTAGTACAGGAGCTATCTCAACGGGGATCTATGGAGGATGAATCGTCGGTGAAGATGGCGGCAAATTGCTGCTCCGACAGAATATCGATGCATGGATGTAGATGAGTTTGGCCTCGTATCAGAAAGTAGCGGCAGGAAAAACGGTAAGACTATTTGTTGAAGGGTTTTGAGGCAATATATAGTCAGGGGCATGAGGCCCAAGGACAAGGGGTGCTTGTTTTCCCCACGATCCCTAGGGGCATGTTCTAGCCCGACAAGTGTGTGCCTAGTGGCCCCATGGGCCTCACTTTTGGCATAAGTCCTCCTAAGGTAAATTTTGGCATCTGAATTTTCTCTGTTTTTTAGTCCGGGAAGGTTCCGGCACCCACGGACGTTGAAATATGATAATACATTTTGGCTCATAATTAGTATTTTAGTCTAATAAAATATTTTAAATAGTGGGTTATGCATGCTATAAATATTGTAAGGTAATTTAGCGGCATCACAGCCATCAGTTATGAAAAGTTATGGCGAAGCCAAGCCCCATATAGCCTTTTCCTTAAATCATGAAAAAAGGGAAAATATTATATAATTAGGCATCATATATAACATTTCACATATACTTGAAACCCACATGCATGTTCAAACATAAAAAACCGAGCTTCGATCAGGTATCCTAAATCAATAACCAATCTTTGCATCAATGCATCATAGGTATCAAAAAATAAGAAAGAAGAATATGGACGATGGATGACTTTCTGGAACTCACTTGCCTCCCTCCTCTGATTGTAGAGGCTTTGGGGCGCTAAATGACTCGAAATTTAGTGCTATAGCAGGAGTTAGCGAGCTATTAGCGTCATTATCAGCTTGGCATTAAAAGTGCATAGCTTTAGCTGGAGGGCTCTCCAAAAGGTACAATGGCACTATAGCAGGCTATTTACAATTTTGATATTTCATAAAAAGGATAACAAATAAGCATGATATTTGAAAGAATTATAGATATTTTGTGATGTATCAAGTACGAGGATGAATATGCATCATAAAAACTGCTTCCCTTCTGACAAAATGCAAGTGGTTCCTGAATGTTGAAGACAGGGATCACCTATTTGCTTGGTATGGCATATCTACGAACGTCTAGCATGTAATTGGCCACGTCGATTGGCCTGCAAATGTCATCACCCACGTGTCTCAACACGTCCTCCCATGTAATCTCCTTCAGGCCTAGTTCGGTTAAACCACTCTTGGAGAGGATTGAAGAGGTTTGGAGGCGATTGAGGGGGAATTTGACTTGTAGGGGATTTAATCCTCCCCAATCCATTTCAATCCCCTTCAAACCACTTGTAACCGAACAAGCCCTCGGGGGACGTGAGACATTGTTCAGATGGTGGTCCTTTGGCAGCTATGGAATGCACGCAACGTGCAGTGACGTGGTCTGCATCAATGACAATTTGATAGCGGAAGAGGTCCTTTGCCTTCCGGCACGGACTATCTGCTCCCGAGCTCAAGTGCTCCGTGTTGAACAGTAAAATCGAAAAAAAACTAAAAAATTAAAAAAATATGTTTTTTTGTTTGGAAAACTTTGACAAATTAAAATCAAAAAAAGTAAAACTTTGATAATTATTATGAAAACGATTTAAAGATGAAGTTTCTCAGGCACTTAAAACATTTGTCAAAGTTTGCTTTTGAATTTTTTTACATTTAGTGCGAGCTCATTTGAGCTCGGGAGCAGAAGAGGACTTTCACCCTTGGTCCTACCATCTCAGACGTCAACATCTCGAGTTGCCTCTTTAGAGCTGTTGTTGATTAGGAGCGCCTATCCAATTGGGGTCCCATCTTAATTAGTTAAACTGATTGCACCGAAGGAAAACTCTAGGTTTTAAATCACTCTTTTCATATTGAAAACAACATGTTTTGTACAAATTGACTAGTGCTACGATGAACATTCCACGTGGCTGCTTGTAGTAGCAGATGCAGAGGCTAGGCCTTTTCCCTTTAGAAAGATGATAAATATTCTAGACATGTGAACATGACTTTGTTTCCCTTGCTATTGGAAAATTTCACTAAATTATGGATTGTTGATATCAACAGGGCTTCGGAGGTATAGAGAATTAATCCAGTGAACAACCATGGAGAACTTGGTTAAAGTGCTTAGCGAATGGGAAATCCAGTTGCTAGTTCTTCTAAGTTTTACCCTACAGGTGTTCCTCTTCTTTAATGGCGGAGCTCGGCGAAATAGCACTGATGCGTTGCTTAGGTTTTCTTTGTGGGTAGCATATCTTGGTGCAGATTTGGTAGCAATTTACGCCTTGGGATTCCTCTCACGGCACAAGGATGACACCATTGGAAAGGATACATTAACGAAAGCACATCCACTTGCTTTCCTCTGGGCACCTTTCCTCCTCATGCACCTTGGTGGGCAGGACACTGTAACCGCATTTGCCATTGAGGACAACAACTTGTGGTTAAGGCATCTTTTGAATCTGGTCGTTCAGGTAGGTGTGGCCTTGTATGTGTTCTGCGGGTCCATGATGGGTCGCAGCCACCATAGTGTGCTTCTTCCAGGTATATTTGTGTTCATTTCTGGAATTATCAAGTACAGCGAGAGGACATTGGCTCTCATGTATGGGGACCTAAAGAACGATAGCCAAAATACCATTGGAAATGTAAACAATGAGGACTTGAATAGGCTTGTGGTTCATGGCAGATACCTTGGCATTTTTGCTGCTGTTCTGAAGTCCGCACCAGGCATCCGAGCACTCTTTGCTGGACGCACCTTGCACCAGATGGAAGTTCACCACCGAGAGGTAGTGACATCACATATTCATATGGGCCATTTACCCAAGTTGCTGGAGGTTGAGCTTGACTTGATGTATGATGATATCTACACCAAGGCTATGGTGCTTCGGACAAAGAGTGGCATTTTATTCCGGTGTGTATCTCAAGCATCTATGGGGGTTGCCTTTGTGCTCTTCATTGTCAGCAATAAGCACCCATACAATAGAGAAGACCTTGCAATCACATATGTGCTATTCATAGGAGGTTTCTGTCTAGAAATTTGTGCAGTATTTATCTTGTTGATGTCACCATGGACATGGGCATGGTTGAAGGCTCGAAATTGGCATTGGCTGGCTCGCATCTCCTCGTCTCTTCTGTGCAGCGACATTGGACGGCCCAAGATCAGGCCTTTGTGGTCAAATTCCATGGGGCAATACAACTTTTTGTGCTACTTAGGTTGTGATCAACACTCAAGCTGGCTATCCAGGCTGGTGAAGAAAGTGACCAAGATATCAAGCCTAGTGGTCAGCAGAAACAAAGAGGTAAAGCCACTGTTGTGGACGAGCAAGTTATTGGACACAAAGCACGTTGAGGTGGATAAGGAGATCATGGACTCTCTTATATGGATCGTCTGCCATTACAGTCCAGATGAATCACCAATGGATGCCAGGGATTGGCCGAAGCTTGGCCCATTGCTGAATAAGTTACTACCGGACTACGGTGCAAGTTTTGGTTATGCTATTGTGTGCTTTCATATATTCACAGAGGCACACCTAAGAAGTCTCTTACTCCCGGATCTTTCGGATCGAGAAAAAGTTTTGGTGAGTGCTTGCCGGAAGTTGTCCAACTACATGCTCTACCTTCTGGTCACATATCCTGAGATGTTGCCGGTCAGTGGTACTCCAGAACCCACATTGCTATTCTTTCTTCGGAAAACTATTCCACATGTTTCTGACAGGGGTGCCAGTGCTGACATTTTGCCTATGGTCAACGAGCTATTAGTAGAGTTGGGGCTAATTGAAGTTGATTTAAGCGGCACAGAAACATTAAATGAGATGAGAGACTTATGGACAAGGTTGCTCATCTACTGCGCTGGTAAATCCCGTGCAGAGATGCACGCCGCACAGCTGAGCAGAGGAGGGGAGTTTCTCACATTTGCTTGGTTGCTCATGGCCCACAAAGAACTAGGGGATGTCGGTCGGGCCTTCAATTTCAATTTTACAAGCCCACCCACACCCCCACCCCTACCCCGTCTTTGGAGTCCGCCTCTCCCACATCCTCAGCCGAGAACGACGACACGTATTGTTGAGAGGGTAACGACCATCAAGCCGGATGATGGAACAGCTCCGTCCACCCAGCCATCCTATGAGCCATGGAAACCGGTCTCTCGGTGAAAACCTGGAAACTCAAATGTGAGTCGTTAGATCCACAATCCATTCGAAGAATTTTTGTATCAAAAAAAAATTCAGATTACGTGTGTAAGCCTCGATGGATTTTAATGCAAATGCATATGAGTGAAATGTGAATTTGGTTTAGCCACGGCTACTCTATGACATGTGGGCCTCACGCATTGCTAAATAGTCAAAAAGGAAGAATATATTCAATATTGGACTATTTGTAAAGTTCAGCATATGGAATTCGGTGGTGTAAACAAAGTGTTATTTTGATGCTTTGGTTCAAAGAAATAAGCGTCACAAGGCTTAAATACGCAGCGTGACAAGCTAGCTAAATTTGCATGCGTGTGTGATCTCTTCGCCACGTGTGTGGTGTGATCTCGGTAAAAGGCGAAACATGGCCTTTATCAAAAAGAAAAAAAAGGCGGCGAACGATGAAATCACTAGATGGTACCGCTTGCAAAGGTCACACCAAGGTTTTGGTTACTAAATAAGGCAATTTTACCGAGGAGGACTGGTAAACCTGGTTACCATGGTTAACGAGAAATACCAAGAATATTTCAAACAAATTTCATAGTTGAATTTTGAATTCAAATAAGCGCATGAACGAACATTCAAACCAGAGACCTTTCAATATAGGAACTAGGTTGCTACCAACACGTCAGAACCAACTCCCATGGCATTAACTAGAACCTTACATAATTTACTATAAATCAAGCGTTCAAATTCAAAAAGTTCAAAAAATTGGTATTTTTTGCTCGGTATAGGGATTTACCGAGGATCATGGAAATACGCGGTAACCATGAAAAATCTCAAAATTTCGACCGATAACCAATGCCTTGGGTCACACACACTTTCTTTAATGGTGACAAGTGGCGTACTGCATGTGCTACATTTGTCATAATCTGAGTTTTTTAATACATTTTTTGTCGATTCGTTTTTTCAAACTTTTTATCTCTTGTACCATGTTTCCGCAATGTTTTCACCATTGCATTTCTTGCATTGAGATCTTCGAAATATGATCCCATGTAAATAGGTTTGGACGAAGTTTTTCTTCTGAGAAAAATGGATACCAAGAAAAGCTGGAGACGAGGAAAATCCAGAGACCGAAAAAAAACTAGAAACTAAAAAACCCAAAAAACAAACACTTAAAAAGCTGAAATAGAAAAACAAAAACCCGAGAAAATTGAATACCAAAAGCACATTGTGCTTCACTTTTCACAACTGTGCTTCGCACAATAGCACAACTGTGATTTTTCATACCAAAAGCACATTGCGATGTCTGTTTGGAAGTTTGGTATTAGACTCGGACTATTGACACCCCTTCATCAAGTGGATAGGAGTAGCGACAGATGTTGCTAAGATGGTAACTTCAGACTACCTGATGTATTACTTTATAAGGTTTTTGTGAATAATTAATAAAATTGTTGCATGCATCTTCCAAATGCAGAGGCCGAAGATCATCCTGCTTTTCGGAAAAAAAAAGTGCTTCCAAGTTGTAAGCACGATAGTTGGCATGGTAAAAAATGAGACGCCTAGTGCCTTCAAAGAAGCTGTAACGCAATAATGCTAAAAATAAATGTATGAACTGACGAAAAAAGGTTTCTCCACACACGCTGAACAAACCGAAACCTGCAGATACAAACACACACTTCACACCACACACATCCAAGGCGGGATACAAAGACGCTGAAAATTGCAACACTACCCCAACAAAATCCTAGCAAACATCAGAAGAAAGCAATAAGCATTGCTACGAAGTTGTCGGGGCCCTCCACCATGGGCGAGTCATCGCGAAGAGGAGAAGCCATGTAAGACGAACAATAAGCTCCAAAGTGGCGCCTTCAGCAAGGAAACGATCCATCGCGTCGCCACCGCCCAATCCAAGGATTAGGGTTACCCCTGGAGCACTCCGACGACAAATGAGATGCCGTGATGGCGCCTTCAAGAAGGGGACGGCGTCAGAACGCCACCGCCGCCAGCCTAGCAAAGCAGAACGGGTTTTCACTCCGGCCAACACTCACCGCCACAAGATTGGGTTACGGACAACCGCAACGCCAGCATTGAACGACCCACCACGGTCAACATGCCGCCCACATGACCATGGCGACCGGATAGCGTCCGAGCGGCGTGCTCCGCCCATGAGCACCCCGGCTAACACCAATCGGGCTGCCGCCACGGCATCCGAGCCCCACCCTCATCCAGGACACACCAAACCGACACGGCCGACCGGAACAAAGCGGAAGATCCCCTTCCACCCCAAAGCCGACCCCTTGGCTTGGTCGATGACCTCGACTGCCCGATCTGGGCCAGGGGAACTCAGGCGACCACCCGAAGTAGTAGCCAGATGCAACGGAGGGGGCACCCTGCCACCTTCCGAAGTCCCCTGCCACCTCCAGCATGCCTCGCGCGCACCCACACCACACCATGGAGCCACCCCTGCCCGACGAGCCCGTCGCTGAATCCATAGAAGAGGGAGCGATCCTACCCGAGCCTGACGTAGACGAACCGCCACAGGAGAGACCCACCGTTGCTGCACGCGGACGGGATGACCACCGTGGCCACAGCAGCGCTGCTGCAGACCACCCCACGCAGAGGTCAAGACGGACCTCTACCAACACCCGATGCCGCCCGCCGCCACCCAGGAGCCGGATCCGGGTGGATCGGGACTGGATCTGTGCCAGCACGCCACCACCCAGATCTGGATCCCCTGCGGCTACCACACTACAGACGAGCATGCCACTCGCCGGCGCGTCCCCACCAAGCAACCCCGTCGCCGGACACCGAGCTCGCCGTTGCGCCGCCGGCCCTGCCATAGCCCACGCCCCTGCTCGACCAGCCGTCTCGCTCCAGCCGCGGTGCACGAGGGGGAGAAGAGGCCTCACTGCCTCCACCATCGGTCGGGCTTCGCCCGACTGCGTCGCTGGGCGGCGGCTAGGAGACGAGAGGAGGGTTGGGCCATGGTGGATAGGGTACCCCCCCCCCGGTCGCTCGTGAGAGCAAAGCAAGAGGGGAGGGCCTCTGTGGCCCTTATCTTCTCCTTCCCACGGCGGGCCGCCCGGTCCCAGCGGGACTCATACTCTGCCTGACCAGTAATGCGGAAGGAGAGGGGTTTCAGCTACCGGGACCATGAGGATCCAGTTCCGGAGGACCCGAGCGGCCGGTGAGCCGATGCTATGGAGTAGCGGCGGATAGATCCGTCCGTCGGTCGAGCGCTGTCCTCCCGGGAGCGGCGGAGTGCAATGCGGGCTGCCATTGCCTCCTCCAACCCACAGAGGATGACACCCCATACGACAGATCTAGACTGGTGAAGAACGGAGGTGAGCTCGGATGGTGGAGGGGAGTGGAGTGAAGTGGCTAGGGTTTGCTCCAGCGAACAGACAGGGCCGAATATATGTAGGGTTGGGTGGGCCAGCATGGCTCGGGTCCGACATGGCAGCCGTGTCCGGGCGCCCCATATCCACCCTATATTTGGGCTGGATATGAGGAGTGCCGGCCAGCCAGGCCGTTTGAGGCGTTCGTGTGAGTCGAAAAATCGTAACCGGACAATGACCGAGCGACGCACCCGGACGTATGAGGTGGGTTTGAGGCGCCCGGCTGTAGATGCTCTAACCAAAGGTCATGACGTAGTAATTATTAAGGAATAGTCCATGACTTCCAAGGATGGTTCAAGAGCAAACCTTTTCTGGTTTACAGGCCGTATCAAGGGTCAGATGCTGCACACTTGTAAGCACTTTAGCAAGCAGCAATAGCGTGCCCAAAAGTGACTCTACCAAACCATATATCTCCACATACCAGTTCTGATGATATACTGAGGTCAATAGGCACAGCCCTTTCTTTATATTTAAAAGTCACAAGGTTCACTGCATCGAACGCTATACTTGTTATATTGCAGGCCACAATTTTCAAGTATAGCAGATGAGGCAGTGGGCAGTTAAGGTCACAATTGAGATGGCATCTAACAATACTCAGCCACTCTAGGTTACAGCAATTTGACAACACATGTAGGATATCCTTCCCACTGACATTCACTAAGTTAAGGTCAAGCTTCCGTAGGTTAGGGAAACCTCTGAACTGCATTGGTGCTTGAAATCTACAACTAAGATGTATTTTCTGCAGACGGCATATACTTTCCTCGTCTAAAAGCTCAGATGGGAATCGGTAGCTAACATCACGGCCTACTAGTTGACGCTCTTCTGGTGCTAAATCAAAATTCAAACACTAGTGCCTTTGTCCGAGGTGATACTGCGAAACGGACCCAATTATCAAGATATTCAACCAACACGCAGTTGAGCTCAGTTTTGATAGCGAGGTCTTCAACCAACTTGCCACGGCACTGTTCCAAGACCCTATTAACAATGTGAATGAACAGGGGGGGTATAGAGTTGTTTCCCATGATTTTTCTTGCCGCATATTGTATTTCCATCGAAGCTCAGTTTAGGACGATCTGTCCACAAGTGTCTCCATTGCCTTGACAAGGCACACTGGTCCTAACAGCCGCATCCAGAGGCAACATAGAGAAAATTGTCCAAACTAAGCCCTGCAGCAAAATGATACATCACAGTTGCAGGCAAGTAAAATTCAGCAATCTACAACCAAGAGACGAGCTGGAGGGCAGGATTTTCACGAAGTACTTACCTCTGGAAGGTCTCGAAGCAGACCAGTCGGTGGGTCCTTTGCATCGTCGCAGACGTAGTCAGACATAACTCCACAGACACATTCCCTTGGCATCATGGATCGCTCCGCAGAGCAGAATGCTCAGCAGCTGGAACGCTTTACATCGTCCTAGGTAGCTCTGAAAGCCAGAACGCTCAAGGCTTCAAAATGAAGATTTGGTAGTCTGCTTCTGCAGCTGCTGCTGCCACTTGGGCGGAGTTGCCCTGGATGGCAACAATGATCCACCACTGTGGTTGCCAACTCGAGAATGTCCCCCATCCTGAACTGCAATGGACATGCAGAAACCCAATTAAATTTACTCTAGTAGTAGCAGCAGTATGGTA